AAAGTTTCAGTAAGTGTTATTCTGGAATGACAATTTTTAACTCAATTTTATAGGGACTCGGGGTTTCTATGTGGTTGTTTTAAGTGAACTAAATAAACATTCAACATTCAAAATCCTAAACATGCATCTAATATCAAAATATATAGGCAATATATAAAAGATAATTAAAGACGCAAGGCAATCTAGCATGACCCCTTGGACTTGGCTTCGTCTTCAAATAATCACCATCTTCTTGACTTCACCACGAACCATGCAAGACTAGGAACAAAGAGTAATCTAAATAATTTAAGTACATAAATACTTAACGGCATGCAGTGCGCATTTAGATTTGGAAAAATACATAACGAAACGCAGTCCGTATTTACTGTCCTAGTCGGGCCATACTAGTTGTCTTTTTGTAAAAACCAGCATAAGAACATTTATAATATTCCATTCACCCATTCAATTTTGGGCCATGCATTTTTACAAACAATACGTACAATAATACATAACTTTATATCAAATGAGCGCGAACTAGTTACTAACTTAGGTGGTTACTCTGATTAATACTCCTAATTAAAACTAGTCAAGTGTTTATCCAATTATGTGAACTAACACAATAACGATAAACATAATTAAAGCTTAACGAGCTCAAGACAGATTAATAAAGCTCCCACTAAATTCCACATCCAACTTAATAAAACAAATCCAAATAATTTTTAATAAAGCCAATCGAGACAATTTTTGTCAAAAAATTTGCATGTACATGAAAAACCGAGGCCTAGCCTCATTTCAAACAACACCGCAAAAAAATGTAAGCCCAAATTGATGCTAAAGCAAACTATGGTCAGGTGCTGCTAGGATGTCTAGCCAAGCACCCTTGCTTGCGCAAAGGCTGGATGCTGCCTAGCAGCCCCATAGGACTTGGTGTTGGGATGAATTGTAGCCTAGCCACGCCGCACTACACAAAAGGTTGCGCCACAACACAGCTCCGCAACATTTGCTTGCGGGCTGGGTGCTACCTAGCAACCCCGCACCAGCATGCACTCCCGCAGGCAATGCTCGTATGTGATGCTGGCGCTGGGTGCTGCCTAGCAGCCCCAAGCCACGTAGCACGCGCTGGCCTTCTTTCGCACCTAGCTTAATTGCACACACACTCCCGCACACACCCACGCACCTGGCTCGGCAACAGCATTGATGCGCACTGCGCGAGCAGCCCCTGCTGGCCGAGCATGGTGCTCGAGGCTCCAAGCTTCATTTTTTGTGCGCTTCGGGATTTTAATCCAATTTATTTGTGTAACTTTAATTAATGGCAAATTTATTTATAGAATTAACATTTATGGAATTTGAATAAATATCAAGTCTAACTTAATTAATCCAAGTTTACTGCAAAAACAAAAATTATTTTCAAGAACCATTCTTTAATAATTTTGGTCATTTTGATGCAATCAAAATAAAATAAAAGGGCATATTACATAATTAAATCAACTCATCCAATGATTAAAATAATTATGTTTTTGTACAAAACTCGTTGAATAAATTAATCAACCACCTAATGAAAAATAATTTATCCAACAAATGCTCATGCATATTTGAATATTTTAATCTTCCAATGAAAAATAATATTCAAGCACAAATATGAACATTCATGATTTTAATCAATTTCATAAATGATTAAAACTCAAAATATGTTCACTTTGGATTTTAGCAAGTCAAGATTCAACCCATAAACCATTAAATATTCAATCTTTTTATTTTAAGAGTTCAAAAAATCATATTTAACATAAACTCATACATTCAAGCAATCTAATTGCAAGAATGAACAATTTCCATGTTTATGTAAATTTTAGAGCTATCCAAATTAAACAACTAAATCATATAAAAAAAACATGCTTAATAAGGAAGATAATTGCAGTAGATTAATGCCATAATCAATCACATAATCTAACAATTGCACGTCATAATTAATTAAGTTTTAAAGATTTAAAAATTTTCGTTCTAAAATAAAAACCCTTCGAAAAACACATTTTTTGGCCAGATTTTGGCCTTTGGAAGCCATTTTCTAACACTTTGTGGGTATAGGTTAATTTAGAAAATAAATTCCACCCTAAATTTACTATTTTTGAGTTAAAATCTGGGTTCATAGTCATAAATTAGCAATAACACGATTTTATCTAATAAAACCGAGATCCTAATCTAATTAGGTTGCTAATCCAGATTTTAAAATCCATTTTAAATCACCTTAAATAATTTTAGTTGTAAAAATTAAATGCAAGAGGCTCGTGATATCGTTGGGGTTGGGGTTTTACGATGTGTGAGCACTGTGAGGAACCAAAACCCGCGCCGGACCGCATGCATAATTAATACAACAAAATAAACAAACATGGAATTAATAAAGCGATAAACACATAAAGAGGGAGAGAGAGAAAGTAGGGAAAAAATATTCTTACTCTTGTAGCGTGCTACACACGAACCCGAGCACGACCCACGGAAAGCTCAAGACACGCATGCGCGAATCCTCCTACATCGCACACCCACACGCCCGTACACGGCTCCTATCTCGTAGCTTAGACGAGACCGAGCCAAAATTAGAGTTTTATGAACTTAAAGGTTTTCTCACACTTATGGGAGATGCTTTATTGAGTTCTACTCAAATTGTGTAAATTCCCAACTCCCAAAGTTGGTATTTATAGGCAAAGCATTCCCAAAAACTTCAATCATCTTTCTATGAGGAAGAGTTGGTAAAATGAGAAAATAAGCAATTAATTTAATTATGAATTAAATTAAATAAGTTGATCAATAGATAAGCAATAAGTGTCAACATGACGGAAAAAGTAGGTGAGGACCACAAAACCGGAACCAACCATGGCGCGCCAGCTGGTGAGGCATGCCTTGGGAACCAAGGTTGCCTTGCTTGCGGTTTGGTCCCTCGATTGGGCCAGCCAGCGACCCATGGCCTTGCTGCCCCGCATAAGCAGGCTACTCAAGCCATGTGGGCTGCTGTGCGATACGAGGTTGCTATAGCTCTTGCTGGGCAAGCAGCCGGGTTGGCTAGCACTAGCAACAGTTAGCAAGGCCCAGCGCGCTTGATGAGTGGATTTATGCCATTATTTCACCCCTTTTAATAAGGATTTACCCTCATTTGTCACTTGTTTGCATCTTATCTAGCCATTTTTACCCTTATTTAAGCTTTATTTGCTTTCTCTCGTGATTTTCCTCTTCTTTTAGCTTTTCTTGTGTTTTCTAGCTTTTTATCCTTGTTTTGCAGGCTTTTAGGTGCTTTTCGATGAAGAAAGACGAGCTACGCTTGGTTTAGAAGTGGAGATATGCCAATTGGAGAGGGCGCGTAGCATTCTAGAAGGACGCGGGCGCTGGTGAATGGGTCGCGGAGCGGAGAGAAGCTTTTGGAGATTTACCAAGTTCCTATAGAAGGCAGCCCGTGCCCCAGGAGAGGGCTCTCCCAAGACCACCGCGGGCACCGCATAGAGTCGCAAGCGCGAACCTCTGCTTCCTTGATTTCCCCTAATCCTACGTCGTGGCCTCTCCTCTGTTAGGAGAGGGCTCTCCTTTAGCCACCGCGGGTGCCGTGATTTTTGCCACGGGCGTGGTCCATGGGGTTTGGCATATCCGTGCACACATGATAGAGGGCGCAGTTTAGTTCGTTATTTTCAGATTTGTTTTGCATTATAAATAGACTTTTTCTTGAATTTATGAAGGTTCTAATTTTCCAAGTATTATTAGAACTTTGTAGAGAGACAAACTATTGATATTTTAGAGAAAGAAAATAGCTTAATCTTCAAGTTTCATCATTGTAATCAAGTTTTCTTCAATCCATGGTAGAATTTTCATGTTTTCTTCATCAATCAAGCTTCATAGTAGTAATTTCTTAACTATTTCCTTTTAGTTTGGTTTAATTGCATTTGATAGTGTTGATCTTCATTCATTTACTTGTTTTATTGAACTACTTTGATTTTGAATCATGTTTTGTTTTGTTAAGATTGAATTCATGCTTAGTGTAGTTGTGATGGCTATTTTCTCTTCTCTAGCTTAGATTTCTAGCTAGGGAAAGGGATGAAGGTCATGATTAGCTTGGAAAATTATGATGATTGATTGAATATTGCTTTGAGTTGATGATTTTGTGCTTTAATTGCTTGGAATTATTGTTGTGCACCTTTAATTCCATTACTTTAGTTCTAAATTGGACGCATGGGAATGATCTAGTTTAGTGTTGATCTATTTCATCAATTTGCTTGAATAATTGCATGGGAATGAATTATTTGGGTAGATTTTGTATTTCTTGGCATGTATCCATGTTAATCATCATTGTTGCCTTAGTTGATCATGATTGGAACCCCCCCCCCTTCCTAGTGTTTTGATCTTATTTCTCAAATCTAGTATTTGATCTTCTTATTAGTTCTTTTAGTTTGATTTTACTTCATTTGCTTTCTTTTGTCATTTGTAGTAGTTTAATTTGATTATTGAAAACAACAAAAAAATTAAAATACCCCTTGTTACTTTGCAATAGATTCTTAATTTCACTTTGATTGTGCCTTTCCCCGTTTCCTTGTGGTTCGACCTAACTTGCCACTATCTTGTGTGAACTTTATATAGTAAGATTAGGAATATAGTTGTTGATTTGGTTTAGGATAGTAGACCACGACCTATTATCCGGCGATCAAATTTTTGGCGTCGTTGCCGGGGAAACGGCTAGTTTTGCACTTTTACTGTGATATTATTGGAGAAAACCACCCTCCGGATTTGCACCTCAACCTCAACAATGGAGCCAACAAGCTCAACCATCCTACAATTCCAACCCTCAGTACCAAAACCCACCTCCACCTTAAAACCAAAACCCAAGAGGAAACTTCCCAAGAAACAACCAAAACCAATACAACAATCAAAATCAAGTATCTCCAAGGAATCAAGATCAAGCATCTCAACCCGATTCCATACAAAGCCAAATTCTTCAACAACTCAAAGCTATGAACCAACAAATACGAGAAGTCAAAGCCCATAGTAAAATGGTAGAGTCCCAATTGGCTCAATTGGCCGAAAGGTCATCCTTCAATTACCATCTAGACTTCTCGGTCAACCAAACCCTAACCCCTCACATACTTACAAAATTGAGTCTTGTAAAGCTATAACTTTAAGGTCGGGAACCACCAATGATGATCCAAAGAAGAGGGTTAGTGATGAGAAGAGAAGTGAGAAAGAGGTGGTTGAGGATAGGGATATTCAGATGGAAAAGGGCATTGAGAAAAACAAGCTTAGCGAAAAGAAGACACCTTTACCCCCTAGTGATGCTAGGAATCTGGATAGACTGGTGGCCTATCTCAGTAGGCTAGTGGAAAGGAAGTTAAATGAGAAGTTTGTGAAGTTTATAAGGGTGATGAAGGGTCTACACATCAATATTTTCTTCCTTGAGGCAATCACACAAATTCCTTTCTATGCAAAGTTTCTCAAAGGAATTCTTTCCAACAAAAAGAAGACCGGTGAAGATCTCGTGACTCTTCTTTTTCAGGTTAGTGCTCTAGTGCAACATAAGATGCCAAAGGAGCAACAAGATCTCTGGAGCTTTACTTTGCCGGGTAATATTGGGAATTCGGAAGCAAAGGGTGCCTTGGCAGATGCTAGTGTCAGTTTGATTCCATTTTCCATTGCTCAACAACTCAACATTGAATTGATCCATACAAGGAAGAAAATTCAACTTGTCGACCGATCTTTAAAGTTGCCATGCGGAGAGCTTAAGGATGTTCCCATTCAAGTGGGACATATCTATGTTCCTTGTGATCTTAAATGTCATGGACATGGAGGAAGATGACAATACACCTTTGATGTTGGGTCGAGAGGCTCTTAAGACCTTGGGAGCGGTGATCAATTGCAAGAACCACACTATCACTTGCGAAATTGCCAATGAAAAAATGGTGTTTGAATTTTTCCAAGGTATTTAAGAATCCCATGGTGGAGAAGGTTTATAGAGTGGATGTGATTGGTCCCCCTCAAGAGGAAGAATTTGAGAATTAAGAGAAGGGATTGAAGGAGAATCCTAAGCCCCCTTTCAAGAAATCTAAAGAGGTGGCCAAGGTGTCTATGATAAATGAGGATTATTTGGTAGGAATATCATCCTTGTTTGAAGACTCTCTTCAGGTGGGTGAGGTTGTCCCTCCCAAGATGGAGAATTCTAGGAGTTTTTCGTCTCAAAAGTGCTTGAGGAAACGAAATAAGAAGAAAAGAAACAACAACAACCACAAAAGATGAAAAAGAAAGTTGAGGAAGTTTGGGTCCCCAAAACGCCCCGACTTTTCCATTGTGATGGAGAGATGTTACAAGATGTATTCTTGCTCAATCTTGGGAGCATGCATGCTACTTCCACCTCTAAGTTGAAGAAGGTGGTATCCTTTGATCCACCTTAAAAGAGGTAAAGGGTCAAGCTAGAGACCCTAAACAAGCGCTTCTCGGGAGGCAACCCGGAGGATTTCTAACCCTTTTCTCCCCTTCCTTTCTTTTTCTCTTTGTTTTTCTTTTGTTTTATTTTTTAATGTTTTCTTTGGTGTATTATCTTGCGTTGTAGGTTGCCTTTTGGAAGTTTGGAGCGGGGATACATTTGGTGAATTCTATTTTATGCTCCTTTGTTCTTTTAAGCCAATCTCCCGGTGAGACCTTTTTTATTTCTCCTTTTTATTACTTGGTGTGCGCAGTTTAGGATAGGTTAGGAGGAATTTGAATAGTTTGAGGTTGTTTGCTTTGGTTTTACAGAACCCGGGGATCGTTGATGCTGATATCAAACGATTTTTGTATGACGATAGGGACTTCACTTGTTTTATATGCCTCATATTTGAACTATATGATTTCTTCCTTCTTCTTTAATTTTCTTTCTATCTCTTTTGACAAGCATGACCATGACAAGATGATAAAAAGGTGTTTTGGATTTTGCTCTTACATTTGGACTTGATTGTTTTGATATTATGTCTCTTAATACTTGATTCTTCCTAGTTGGTGATCGAGAACACGGTTTGAGAGTGCTTTTGGTTGAATTTGAAAAATTTTAACGCTAAGGTAGAAAGGTTAAGAACTTTGGGGCTATTTGAAACCTTAGTTCACAGGAAAATGGTAAGATGAAGTTGCTCTCTATAGTGGATTTGAAGCCCTTGGTTGGTATTTACTTGTTTTCATCCCTAGTGAGGATTACATTGTTCTAGCCATCATCACTTTATTGTGTGGCCTTTTAGGATCCTTGACTATGCATGTCTTAGTCCTTGTTTTGACCTCTAGCTTCCCGAGATCGTGACCGAGCTACTGTAGGGGAGGACAAGGGCACAATTTCTCATTTTTGCTTTTCTTTTTGTTTTTGTTTTATTACAAATTTAGTTTTCTATTTTGCATTTGCTCTTCTTGCTAACCCTTTGGGTCTATTCTCTTTCTTGATTAAAAGCCACATTGTAAGCCTAAAGACCTTTTGTTTCCCTAACCCTTAGTTTTGTGAAGCATTTTGGTTTGAGGGTTTGTTTTGTGTTGTGTTGGTTTGAATGATAATGAGAAAGTAATATGTTCTTTTGACCAAGTAAGAAAGTAAATTGTATATATTGTGTGTAATAAAGAAAATGCATTTAAGTAAAAGTTGTCCATAGTTGAAAAAAGGCAAGGACACCAAAGAACAGCTAACAAAAAAAAAATAAGTTGGTTTCGTTTTCTTCCCTATTTAAGCGTTGAAGACAATGCTCCATTCAAGCTTGGGGGGAGCGTTCCATCGTTTTTGTATATATTATGTGTTTGTGTTGAATAAGTTTGTGGGAGATGGTGGTATTGGTATTTTTGTTTGATGTTTGGTGACTTCTTGAGTTCGTTTTTGAGGTTTGATCACCCTTTTGCTTCACTTAGGAAATATCACAAAAAATTTAAAATTTTTACCCTGCCTTGACCCCTAGCCTTCCGTTTCAACTCAATAAATGACCCTTAGACCCTTATGGGTTGAGTCAAAGACCGACGGAGGGAGATAAACTTCAACCGAATGGAGAGAGTATGCATAGTTGAGATGTCGGGATGACCTTATATTTCCTCATAAATGTATCTTTTTCCGGTTCCTTCGCAGAATCATGAGGAGCTAACTAAGGGGTGATTTGAAGCTAGTGGGGAGAATGCGACCCGTTTTGGTTGGGACTAGGGCGTAGAATGAAATCACTAGTTCTTTATGCTTAGCTTAGGTTTGTCTTTCTCAACCATAAGCATCTAAGAACGTGTTTTCCCTCGTTTAATTGAGAAAGGTGGGTATTCTTTGGTGTTTGTCTTATCTCTTTTGAGTCCGAATGGAGCACTTTCCACCTTAAAACTTGATTGGTTTTCCTAAGCCTTTCAATGTTGTGTTAGTCATCATAGTGTTGCTTTTTCTCTTTTCTCTTTAGTCTTGCTTGAGGACAAGCAAGAGGCAAGTGTGGGAGATTTTGATGAGTGGCATTTATGCCATTTTTCACCCCTTTTAATAAGGATTTACCCTCATTTGTCACTTGTTTGTGCCTTCTCTTGCCATTTTTACCCTTATTTTAGTTTTATCTGCTTTTTCTCGTGTTTTTCCTCCTATTTTAGCTTTTCTTGCATTTTCTAGCTTTTTATCCTTGTTTTACAGGCTTTTAGGTGCTTTTGGATGAAGAAAGACGAGCTACGCTTGGTTTAGAAGTGGAAAGATGCCAATTGGAGAGGGCGCGCAGCATTCTAAAAGGGCGCGGGCGCGGAGAGAAGCTTTTGGAGATTTACCAAGTTCCTGTAGAAGGCTGCCCGCGCCCCAAGAGAGGGTTATCCCCAAACCTCAGCGGGCGCGACATATAAAGCTAGGGGCGCGAACCTCTGCTTCCTTGTTATCCCCTGATCCTGCACTAGGGCCTTTCCTCTGTTAGGAGAGGGCTCTCCTTCAGCCACCGCGAGCGCGGTGATTTTTGCCGCGGGCATGGTCCTTGGATTTAGCTAACTATATCCAAACGATAGAGGGCACGGTTTGGTTTGTTGTTTCCGGAATTGTTAAGCACTATAATTAAACTTTTTCTTGAATTTATGAAGGATCTAATTTTCCAAATATTATTAGAACATTGTAGAGAGAGAAACTATTGATATTTTAGAGAGAGAACGTTTCTTAATCTTCAAGTTTCATCATTGTAATCAAGATTTCTTCAAGTTTTCTTCAATCAAATGGTAGTAATTTCATGTTTTCTTCATCAATCAAGCTTCATAGTAGTAATTTCTTAACTCTTTCCTTTTTAATTAGTTTAATTGCATTTGATAGTGTTTATCTTCATTCATTTACTTATTTGATTGAATTACTTTGATTTTGAATCATGTTTTTCTTTGTTAAGAATGAATTCATGCTTAGTGTAGTTGTGATGGTTATTTTCTCTTCTATAGCTTAGTTTTCTAGCTAGGGAAAGGGGTGAAGATCGTGATTAGCTTGGATGATTATAATGATTGATTGGATATTACTTTGAGTTGATATTTTGTGCTTTAATAGCTTGGAATTATTGTTGTGCACCTTTAATTCCATTACTTGAGCTCTAAAATGGATTCATGGGAATTATCTAGTTTAGTGTTGATCTATTTCATCAATTTGCTTGAATAATTGCATGTGAATGAATTATTTGGGTAGAATTTGTATTCCTTGGCACGTACCCATGTTAATCATCATTGTTGCCTTAGTTGATCATGATTGGAACTCCCTCTCCCTAGTGTTTTGATCTTATTTCTCAAATCTAGTATTTGATCTTCGTATTAGTTGATTTTACTTCATTTGCTTTCTTTTGTCATTTGTAATTGTTTAATTTGATCATTGAAAACAACAAAAAAATCAAAATACCCCTTGTTACTTTGCAATAGATTCTTAATTTCACTTTGATTGTGCATTTTCTCGTTTCCTTGTGGTTTGACCCTAGCTTGCCACTATGTTATGTGAACTTGATATAGTAATATTAGGAATATAAATTCTTGATTTGATTTAGGATAGTTGACCACGACCTCTTATCCGGCGATCAAATTTTTAACGTCGTTACCGGGGAAACGGCTAGTTTTGCACTTTTATTGTGATATTATTGGAGAAAATCACCACCCGGATTTGCACCTCAACCTCAACAATGGAGCCAACATGCTCAACCATCCTACAATTCCAACCCCCATTACCAAAACCCACCTCCACCTTAAAACCAAAACCCAAGTGGAAACTACCTAAGAAACAACCAATACAATAACCAAAACCAATACAATAATCAAATCAAGTGTCTCAAAGGAATCAAGATCAAGTATCTTAATCCGATTCCACACAAACCCAAATTCTTCAACAACTCTAAGCTACGAACCAACAAATACAAGAAGTCAAAGCCCATGACAAAATGGTAGACTTCCAATAGGCACAACTGGCCGAAAGGTCATCCTTCAATTCACCATCTACACTTCCCGGTCAACCAAACCCTAACCCCTCTCATACTTACAAAACCAAGTCTTGTAAAGATATAACTTTAAGGTCATGAACCACCTATGATGATCCAAAGAAGAGGGTTAGTGAAGAGAAGAGAAGTGAGAAAAAGGTGGTTGAGGATGGGGATGTTGAGATGGAAAAGGCATTGAGAAAAACAAGCTTTACAAAAAGAAGTCACCTTCACCCCTAGTGATGCTAGGAAACTTGATGGACCGGTGCCCTTTCGCGGTAGGCTAGTTGAAAGGAAGTTGAATAAGAAGTTTGTGAAGTTTCTAAGGGTGATGAAGGGTCTACACATCAATATTCCCTTTCTTGAGGCAATCACACAAATGCCTTCCTATTAAAAGTTTCTCAAGGAAATTCTTTCCAAC